GATTCATATATACCTGAATTGAAATATTCAATAACTACTTGAATTAACAATGAAAAACTATTTCTGGAATTGAATATGTCACACTATAAGTATACTCTATGAATGATTAATATTAATAGTAACCTGAACACATAATGCTCAATGATAGTGATGTATTTAGTTATGTTTGATGGATAACCAGTAATCTTATTTCTAATTGTAAAAACTGATTCACAAAAGCTTGTAACCAAACAACATGCTTGACGAAACTGAGGAAAGTTTTTTGTATGTGTTGTTTTGTTTTTGTTTGTTTTAAAAATAAAAAATATTTTTTTAAAAAGAATGTCCCTAGATTCTTTCTTGCACCTAAGGTGCATTTATCACCACATATGCTTGACCCAGTTTTAAAACTCAAAATGATTGAGTCCTCACATGTATCTTAGTGAATGTCTTCTCTCCAGATAAGCAAACAAAGAAATAAATGCCTCCTGCAACAGACACCTGGACCTTCAAGACAAGACAAGGAGGCCTTGCTCTAAAAATCTAGTGGTATCCAAGGCACAGCATTTACTGATAATAAAAGCATTGTTTCTTGAACAGCTTATCATGGTTAAAATCTCTTAAAGAGAGCAACTTTTGGAAATAATCTTTCATTTATTTCTTCATTGTTGCTACACTATTTTGTAAGACAATTTTTTATTTTCATGATTGCCTTAGTATTGTCGTAAATCACTTTAAAGTTGCAAGAGTAGCTTGGAATTCAGCAAGCCTTAGACAAGTAAACATGTTCTGGTATTCTGAATAAATGCTCAGAGTTCATTCCTTCCTTAGGAATAATGTTACACTCTTGCTAAAAATACCCCATTGAGTGATTTTCTGATCTTCTCCATTGTAAGCTTGTGATAAAATGAGCCAAAGACCTACTAAAATTGGTAATATTTTTTTTTCAGATTTAACAACTCCAACTTACTTTGATGAGATATCTGGTAATATCTCTACCAGCAATATCTAGTCTCCTGGTGAGATGAGGAAGAGAAAAACCTTCATAGACTGGACAGATGTGAGTAACACCATCTCCAGAATCCACAACAACACCAGTTAGCAAACCTGAAGAAAAATAGCAACAACAACAAAAAAATCCTCATGAGATCATTTCAAATTGATTTATAACTTAATTTTGGAACCCAAACTACCTTAGGTTTGCTGAATGTGACTCTGGTAATTTTCTTATAGTTATTAGTGGTACTTTAGTAGTAAAATTATATTAGTTACAACATTCTTCTGGGAAAAAATCATCTGTAATACAGGATACTTTATTTCACTGGTTCCTCTTTTACTAGCACAACCAATTCTAAAAAGAGGTACTGTTCACAAATGTTTTTCAAATAGAACGCTATAATATGCAGTTATTGTTTTTCCTAAAAATACTTGTTTCTCAGGCTTCAATGTTAACATTTGCAAGATGTCAATAGTACATTAATTGGATTGAGCTATTGTTCTTGTTAGATTCAGGTGGACTGATGAATTAATAATCAGTAATAAAATGGAAGCAAGGCAGCAAAATCAAATTCAGTCCAGACAAGAAAAATGTTCTGTTTAGAGCTGACTAAAACTAGAAAGGAAGGGTTTTAAAAAAAACAAACTAGGTTTTTATTTGCTTAAGCTTTTAAGCATGTAATACCATCTGGTTCTGAGTTTACTGTCTTATTGTTCTGATGTGTTTTTTCATTCTGCAGTACTTTGTTCCTTTTTGTGGAACAAAGCACAATGCTAAAATATTTTTTAAGATACTTTCTATTTGCATGCATACACATATACATCTACCATATTTTTTGGAGTATAAGACACACCTTCTCCCCCCCCCCCAAAAAAAGTGGGTGAAAATCTGGATGTGTCTTATACATTGAATACAGGATTTTGGCCTACCAAAATCCCCCCCCCTTTGCAAAACTGAACATGCTAAAGGTTTGGGAGGCTTGCAAAGTGCTCATGGGGGCTGGGGAGGGCAAAAATGAACAAAAACTGGGNATCTTCTAGTCGTTATACCCTTCTGGAAAAATGGTGGTCCAATCTTCTCTTAAAAACCTCCAGTAATGGAGCACCCTCAATTTCTGGAGGCAAGCCATTCCGCCGATTGTTCTGTCAGGAAAGTTCTCCTTAATTCTAGGTTGGATAATAATCTTTCACTTTGTCAAAAAAGGTGATAAGGTTTGTCTAGTATGATCTGTTTTTAACAAATCCATGCTGGTTTCTAGTAATCACCATGCTTGTTTCCGCTACTTGAGTATAATTTTTACAGGATTTTTCCAGATACTGCTGTGATGTGTATTTTCCAAAATCCACCTTTCCCCCCTTTTGAAGATTGGAACCACATCAGCTCTTTTTCAGTTCTCTGGTAGTTCCCCCATGCTCCCAGAGCAATGAAAAGATTTTGTTCAGTGTTTCTGAGATCATGTCTGCCAGCTCCTTCAAAACCTGGGATGCAATTCATCTGGTCCTGAAGATCTGAATTCATCTAGCGTGGATAGGTATTCTCTTACCAATTTTTTGCCTATTGTGACTTGCATTCTTTAAGTAAATTGGGTACATTCATTAGGGACACATTATTTTCAATTGGAGACAACATGCTTCCAATTATCAGGTGCAGTGGAGTAATAGTGGTACAGGGTACGTCTCTAATCATTTCCTAAAAATATTTCAGGAGCACCTGGTTTATTGAGAAAGTTGAAAAACAAAATGCTAGGAGAAATACTGGAGTACAGAGGAAGTGCCAGGAGATGGGAGAAGAGACACTCTTGTTCCTATCTCTAAAAAAGGCAAAAAAAAAAGTGGGCCCAGGAAACTACAGACCAGTTACTTTGTCTGGTCTCAATATCATGGGAAATCTTAGAAAAGATAATCAAGCAGTGAGTTTGCAAGCTGTTAGGAAGAATTATTAAAAGCCCAGCAAGTGCTTCTAAAAAGAAAGGTTATACCAAGTAAATCATATTGCTTTCCTTGACAAAACAATTAGCAGACATAGGGAATGGTGTGCATATACCATTCTTAGTTTTCAGCAAAGCATTTCACAAAATTGACTACAGCCTCCTTATTGATAAAATGCAACCAGATAAATTTATAGCCATTTGAGCAACTGAAACTAAGTATGTGGGCCTTGATGGCATTGTATCAACATAGAGACACACATTTTTTATGACTCAATCCCAATCAGGCTGGCCTTCTATCCAGTTTTAAAAATAAGATGTTTCCTAAAGAATTGTGCTGAGTTGTTTGATAAACCATATTGGTTAGCTGCAACTACTGTGTATTTGTTAATGATTGGTATAGTGAAAAAGATACATTACATTTCTGGCACACTGTATACTGATGGTTGTATAATTGCTTTAAACTAAGTAATCAATTCGCCTGCCCATCCTGTGGTGTATCTAAGGAGTCTGTCCTGAGCCCAGTAGTATCTATTTTTATAAATGACTTACAGGAGAGGATAGAAATTTGCAGCTGCCTCAAATGGTGGGGGGAAATTGCTAACACTATAGAAAACAGACTTGAGGTTTAAAAAGATCTTAATAGATTGAACAAGAAAAGCAGGTGCGGGTACAAGATAAGTAGCTGAGCAATACTACTTGAAAGAAGGATGTGCATCCTGATAGACTACAAATTAAGCGTTAACCAGCAATGTGCTGCAACACTATACTTCAACAGAAGTATAGTTTTGAAACCATGAAAAGTGGTTGTTCTGGAATATTTTGTCAGGTTCTGATCATTGCAATACACAAAGACACCAAGGAACTGGAAAGAGGCAAAGAGGAACGTGTAGGATGCTAAGGGGTCTGGAAGTTAAATTTTATGAAGAATATTTTAAAAGACAAGGTACGTTTTAGCCTACAGAAGAGAAAGCAAAGCAGTCATGATAGCAGTTTTTAAATATTTGAAGGGCTGTCACAAGGAAAAGCGAGTGGATTTATTCTCCAGAGGTTTTAAGTGTATTAAGTGTATCTTAGATTTCTAACTATTATAGTGATACTGGGCAGCTTAGAATATAAGTATAGAGCAAGAACCAATATGTGGAAGTTTTAGGAAGAATTGACATAAGGAAGAATTTCCTGACTGAGAACTATTAAGCAACAGGACACCCGGCCTTCTGTAGTTGTGGGTGCTCCATTGCTGGAGGTTGGAGAGACATTGTCGGAGATGAGATGATGATTCTTGCCCTGGATTTAGGATTGGACTAAATGACTTGCAATTCCTTTTCAATTCTATAATTCTACTAAACAACTATTATTATTATAATCAAAATACTGGTTACTAGTACTGATGGACAATTACTGCTTTAGGTAGGTATTTGCTTACCTAAAGCAGTAATTACCTTTCATTGCTAGCAACTCCCTACAATTTTTCAATAAAGTAAAAAAAAAAAAATTAAAACTTATAAAATTTAATTGAGCATGGTCATAGCCATCATATCATAATGTAGCCAATCTGATTAATGTTTAAGGGTAGAAAGGAAAGAAACAACACATTCATATTTTTGTATTTGTTTTCCATTAAAACAATCAACCTGAAGAACACTTAAATAAGTGGGGGAACTAACACTATCTGTATAGAATGATACCGATAATCCCAATTACCAGTGATAACATCCAACTTATAATGTCTACTTTGAGGGCAATTCTGGGTGGCAAACCTAGTGGTTGAATCATCTCATCCAATTTTAGGACTTCTTTTTTCCTCTGTTCCATTTTTGTCTAAACAAGTATTGCAAAAATCTGCCAATTTTTGTATCATCTTTTGTACAATTTTGTTATTCTTCTTACTCCTAACATACCATTAATGTCTGAACTGTTTTAAACAGGAGCTCCAGATGTCTTAAAGTATCATCCATGTAATCCCTTGCCGTATCAACTAGGGTTTATTAGAGGTGAAAAATAACAGGCTGTCTACTTTTGTATTATAATGGAAAATTGCAAATGCACAGAGTTACTCACCGTGTAGGACTCAACTAACACAGTAGTTTCCAAGGCCAATTTCTGTTCCTGTTCAATATTGTAACCCACGTAGCAGAGTTTTTCTTTAATCATGCGAACAGTCTCAAAATCAGCAGAATGATTGAAGGCATACCCTCGTAGTAAAAGTAGCTAGTATTGAAGTAAGACAGTTAATGGCTATCCAGAAATAAGGCTTTCAAATTGAGACATTTTATCTTATATAGCAATGACAATCAATTTTATCATTTATAGCAAGAGTGACAAAGATATATTGCATCTTGATTGATAGCTGTTGCTCACATTTTATTTTGAACTCAAGCCTATTATTTGAGATTTTCATAGACATTTAACAGAAAACATGCAAGCTGATACTTCAATATGCAGAATATACCCCTATTTTTCAAGGATGACACGCAAATTCGTGAAGCATTCCATATTTATGAGAGGCTTTGTTATTAAACTGGGAGAAGGTTAAGAAATTACATTATTTAAAAATTCCAGTCTGGATATCAACCATCGAAGCCTTTTCATATTCAATAATATACAAAAAGGAACAAACAGTAGATATGCTGAACTATTAAATATAGATGGTGAACTTAAATCCATTCCAGATTTGAAACAGGAAGGTATTGAAATTAATTGGTATTCATATGTGCAAATACATTCTAGATACAACGAAGATTGAAAAATGGAGGGTTTTTATGATAAAATGACTGAATTAGATAAAAT